AAAATGGTCAAGCACTCTCGAGGCAGCTACATAGTGCTTACAACTGTCTCACGAAGTGAAGTGAAAATACCAGACAACAAACAAAGGCATACGCAGCTGTCATCCGTGCGCAAGGAAGAAAGCACAAGATGCCGAACACCCTTAGCAGGATGCAGCGCACCGTTCATGCGACTCGCCGAATACCTCACGGCGCTTCGCGCTTGGTGATGTGAGAGCCTGGTCCGGTGAGAACCTGGCGTGCTCCGTCCCGGCTTTGTAGGGATGCGAGGTCAATGGTCTAACGACTACGGCATGCACGACTATGAGTACACCCTCCCCCTCCCCGTTCCTTCTCACCTGCTTGAGGTTGACCGATGTAAGGTTGCGAGATTGCTTCTTGTATCTGAGGAAATGTCCCAAAAGGTAAAAGAACCGCTCCGACCACTCCCCGCCGCCAGCCTCTACGCCTACACCTCCTCCTCCTGCGGTACCGCTCCAGGCTTGACCGGGCTTTGTGAGCATGAGCAGGTATCCTGGAGCGGCATGTAGACAGGGAGAGATCGGGCGTGAGTATGCAGGCAACAGTTCGCGAGAGCAAAGACGAGAGCCGGGAGTGGACTGTGGATGGATGATCGTTCGATCTGGCAGTCACCTGCTTGACCGTTTGTGTACACCAGGACATCATAGGCTTGATGCGTTGTTTCAAAAAGGAAGTTTTACTGGTGTAGCGAACGGCCTCAATGACTTGACAGAACCTCCGTTCTGCCAGTGAACGTCAATCTACAGAACAATAATTCATGCGATGACACTCAGTACCTGCCGGGAACACGGTGTGCAACACATCGCCCGCGAGACGGGAGCTAACCAATAAAAACACCAGAACGCGGACCACCTCCTTCACTGACTCCGTCAGCACCGGTTTGGTTCGAGATTACATTTGACGCCCGCCCGCACGTTCATTTTTCTATCACCTTTCCGAATGCTAGGCAGCTCATGTGACAGCCTCCCAGACCCAAGGCCAACCTCAGAGTTGGTAGTGCTCCCGCTGCCGCCCACGCCGCTGGCGCCGTTCCCCCCTCCGCCTAGATTTACCCCGGAGGCGAGACCCCTGAGCGCCGACGTCGCGGTCGAGGAAATTCCGGAGAGACTCCCGAAGGAATGGTGGCTGGAAGCCGTCTCGCCCTTGACGTTGCCGGGAGGCACGGGAGACGCAGAAGACTCGGTGCGCTGCGGTGGTTTGGGCGTTGAACAAGAGGGAAATATGGAACACACCGAACGGTTGAGAGGCGGGATGCAAGACGGATTTTGTACCGGAGGACATGTGGTACGGGTCGAGAGGCAAAACGAAAGACGTATTTTCTACGGAAGGGCGGCGCAATTAACGGTGCCGCGGCATGTACATACGGCAGGGTGCTTGGCAGCAGGGTGCGCACCCATCCCAACCAATGCATCTCTCTCGAAACTACACTGTTGCATTGCACTGCACGCATCGAGACCGGGGCATCTAGGAAGGGGACTCTCTGTCCGCACTGGCCGCCCCGATAAAAAGTGTCTTCTGATTCGCCCCCCGGCCGTGCGCATGAACATCTCCGTTGCAAACACAGTGGGGACCCCTCTACAGTGAGGGGTATATAGTGCGGCTGCTCGCTAAAGTGGGGGTGATATCGCTTGGCACAGATGGAATATTCAAAGACAGTGAATAGTTCGGGTGCCCGCTATAAGTGCGGGCGAAATCGCTTGGCACATACAACCGCGCTAATATACTGTAGAGGGCCTCTCACTGTAGCATGGCTGCGAAGTGGTTCTCAACACGAGTGCTGACCATGTCCAAGATACAAGAGTGGAAATCGCGGAGGCGGACGGAGCCGTGGCCTCAAAGATTCTGGAAGCTACCCTGATTTGATTCCGGCTTCTGCAAGGTTGGTCGTGGGTTCGAAACCCGGGCTGCGCTTGAGGTGGTTCTTTCCCTGAGACCCCGGTTTCTTTTGGACAATATAGGGGACTGCCCACACATACTCCGCCGTTGATGAAACACGAAAAGTACGTGAACGGTTTGCAGATGGGCGATTCGGGCGTATTGCTCTTCATCCGCGATTTTTTTCATGGGAGGTACGTGGCGAGGGCGGCTGACAATTGACGTACTGAGGTCGGACCCTGGGTAAAATATGTGCGTACGTGCGGTTTTCGGCGCGATGCGGCGAGATGCATCGGTGCAAATATTAACAGGACTTGACGTGCAAGAATATTGTAATACGAAGCAGTATTTGGTAGTCTACAAAGTAAAGGAAATGTGCACTCCGTTGCTTTTTGAACCGCCGAACACGGAGAGGTGCGTGTGGGGGCTTCCTAGATACCGCTCGTGCCGGTGTTATGGGTCGGCGTCGCTGTCATGGAGGGATTCTTGCGGATCGACAGCTGCACGCTGCAGGATTGTTTCATACGCAAACGAACAGTAGTCCAACTCGCAAGTCTTGCTTGATCTTGACGCAATAATATGGTCATAACCCTCAACGTCCTTGGTCGGGCTTCCTTCTGCACACAGCTTGAGCATACCACGCAGTACGACGGTTCGAGGGCAAAGAGCTTATACCGGGATACTGAAACTGCGCAACTCGCTCAAGGAGGGAGCTTGCGAACGGTACAACATATCCTCTCCTTGTGTCCGTGTTTGCCATTTCAACAGTTGTACTGAAGCGATTGCGTGAAAATACTCCAGTATACTCAACCGTGAACAGCTTGGCAACAAAGGAAACACCTTTGCTGACGTACTGGCCATTGGCCTGGGCTGAGCAGCAGCGAGCTAGCGAGCAGTGGCGGGGAGCACCCGTTGGTGCGGTATGCTGCTTCATGATGCCGGTTGCACTACAACATGTGCCGCTTGCTTCTTGCTGTAAGTGTCGGCGGAACGCCCACGCGGTGATCTTTCGCAGTCTACCACGTCTCACTCGCCGTCTCATTCCACATCTTTGAACTGGTCGGTCCTGCTGCTGTGTCCGGGCAACGTAAACGACACACCATAGAGCAGAACGTAGCAACCTCTTGCAGCAGCGCGACGACACACGAGTGTGCTACGGGCGCTGTCGAAAAATACTTTACGAACAGCAAAAAAAAAAAAGAAGCTCACGTTGTGCCCTCTCCCAATGTGCAAGGCATTCAGCGTGGCGCTTCTGCCACGCGAGGCCACGCTCGACGCAGCCCGCGACACGCTCGAAATGATCCCTTTCGAACCGCCAGAGCTCGGATTGCCTTGCTCCGGAGCGCCAGGACTGTTGCCCGGCTGTGAAGGAGTTGACGCCATCGCGGTGTGTCTCGGGACGTCGGGTGTGCGTGCTGTGCGCTGCGTTCGAGATTCAGCGTTGCGAAACAAAACACACGAGGGGACGCAGCTTTTTGGCGTCGTCAAGTGGTGCGGCGGGCATGAACGCCTCTACACTACAAATTGTTCCGAGCGGATCTCCGGGGCCGTGCATCCGCATATACACACACACCGGTCGCCCCGGTGGTCTAGTGGGTAGCCTCGCAGCCTGCTAAGGGCCAGGTCATGGGTTCGAGTCTCGGCAAAGAGAGTTTTTTTCTCACTAAATAAATCCTGGTCTAGGATGAAAGCGACGCGCTGCAAAGCTCGTTTGTTAGTAAACCATCTAATCGACTTCGTAAGTCGCGAGGGAAGGGATTGCTGTACCCTTCTCGCGATAAAAATACCTCAGGCATGAACCGCAGGAGGGGGTCTAACCCCCCCCTCCTATGTGACCCCGGTTGGGTCGTCTAGCTAGTAGAAGTGGAGGATAGGGGCCAGAGGGGCAGACGACAGAGTCCAATGATAGGAGAAAAACAAACAAAAACAAACATACATAGTCTACAAGGCAAAGGGCTGGTCCTGGCGGAAGCATCGCCGACGTATCGTGCGGCCGTGGATTCACGCCGTCAACGTACTTTTAAAATCTCTACAAAATATCAAGTAAAATCACGGGCAGGTTTAGTACAGTACAGTATTTTTATTCCAGTATTTAACTGCGTACTAAAACGTCCAGTACAGTACAGTACCGAGAGCCGTGCTGCCAGTACAGTATATTCCAGTATCGAGAGCTGTACTGGAGATTGCAGTATTTTTATTCCAGTATTGAAAGCTGTACTAAAACGTCCAGTACAGTACAGTACCGAGCGCCGTGCTGCCAGTACAGTATATTCCAGTATCGAGAGCTGTACTGGAGATTGCAGTATTTTTATTCCAGTATTGAAAGCTGTACT